GTTGGTTTTTACCTTCTAGAATTCACTCCTGTGTACTAAGCAGTTGTACTCAATTAATCAGGTGATCTCATGAAGAGATTCACTTTTTTAATGAGGAGATAGCAAGAGCATTGAAGTGCTGTCTAGATTCCTCTTCTGATTAAAGCAAATATGAGAAAGGCAGCAACACAGGAATTACTGGTATTGACAACTGCCAGGCTTATGTTGCTAGATTTGAGAAGTACGTTTCAGGCATAGCTCAAATTAGGAGCATTGGCAGGAAAACAAAGTCTAAAGATGAATTTGAGGGTGTGGTTATAAAACCATTTAAATTCCTAGAAAGATCCAAGGTGTGGCCTAGAAGATCTGTCCAGCTGGGTAATAGGGCTTCTAAGGAGCTTCAGGCAGAGAAGGGCTTCTCTTGAGATTCATAGGTGTGGTTTTTGTCTATTGGCATGAAACCTAGTAAGATTCACAGAAGACCTAGGGCTTCTTTGAGAGAATTGTATTTGTAGAAACACTGCCAGCTTAGACTGAGACAGAATTACAAAATTAAAAGAGACCCCTTTTGCTCCCTCACACTTCCATCAGGAAGACAGATTGAGAGAGAAAAAGGACACATAAAAAGGATAAAGACGTGTTTTGTACATGTACCAACTCCCCACAATGATTGTGATCATTGTGTACTGCAAATGTGTACTGATAAAAATTAAAGGAAGCAGACTGAGAAAACTACACAGCTATAAACATGGGTTTATTTTCAAAGAAAAGTGAAGATTATTTTTAGAGTGCGATGAAGATTATAAAAGAGCCAAAAAATGTTAAGAAGCATTTTCTGGCCTTGAGTCCAAATGAAGGAAATACTAGCCTTGCACAGTTTGAAAATTTCTGTGGACTTGTAATCCCTGTGTGCCTTTCATTTCTCCTGACCCTGGCCTGGAGTGTCTGTCCTGATTGTGATACACTTGCCCCACCGTTGTATGTTGAGAAGAGATGTGGACAGGTAAATTCTTTTAGTTTACTGGCAGTCAGTTTGAGAAGAGCTGTACCCACAGGCTTAAGACAAGGAACCTCAGGTACACCTGGATTTGACTTAGATGATGGGATTCTGTGTTCTCACCTTGTAAAGTGTTGAAAATTCTGGGGCCTTGAGTATAAGTTAGTGAAGTTTTTATGTGAATGAGATATGAATCATTGTGTTTCAGAGTGAAAGGTGGTAACTTACTTACTCTTGAGTATGTTCCCATGGTTCTTACCTGGCATTCACGTTCTTGTGTAGTCTTCCTAAACTGGACTGAGCTGACCTTTGTAACCAATAGAATATTGAGGAAATGATGGAATATGACTCCAAAAGCCTCAGTATGCTTTCATTTTGCTCTCTCTTGGATTTCTGGCTTTGTCAAGTAATCCTGTGAAGATGTCCATTTGGTAAAGAGCTGAGGCTTCATGGAGACAACCAGCCATGATTTGACTAGTATATGTGTGATTTACCTTGGGGATAACTCCCAGCTCTAGGGAAGTCTTTGGATGACTTCTCTCTGGACTGACATCATGACAGCAACCTGATGAGAATCCCTCAAATCAGAGCCACCCAGTGAAGGCCACTTTCATGTTCCCGACACTCCAGAATGTGTGATATCATCAACATCTATTGCATTAAGCAGCTAAGTTTCGGAATAATTTGTTGTGCAGTATAGAAAGTTTATAGACATACTAAAGTGAATTAATACAAACCCGAGAACTTTAATAGATTTTTATTTCCTCATTCTTAGTTTTTAGTAACTATTTTAGTTTCTTAATCAGTGAAAGGAAGTTAGAATATGAAAATCTTAAGACATCTACTTTTTACTTATATATGGTCTATCTCTATTATAGGTATAAAGTCTGTGAGTAAAAGGGCTGCTAGATTCCCATCATTATAAAAATTTTTTGAGAAGCCACTTGTAGTCCTAAAAGTATTGGGATTGCACATCTATAATGCAGGCTTTTGATATAAAGTATTTTGTGGAAGTTGGGCTGTGAAATATTTGTGTGATGGATTGGGCGAGGGATGGCCTCCTTCCCCTTGCAGAGAGGTGTTTGCCCTTGGTAATGGGTTACAGTTCTACACACTGTACACTGTACAGATGAGGAAAATTAGGCCAGAGGATTAACTAATCTGTCCAAAGCACATAGTTGGTTAGTGGCAGGACTAAGGAGTCTGGCTGCCAGTTTAATAAGATTGTTTCAGTATGTCTTTTTTTGGTCATTTGAAGTAAAATGATTCCATTAAATGAGGACTAAGTGCTTTCCTTTTATTGTGTTGAACAGGGTATGTCTTCTTGATGTTTCAGTAGACATAAAAATATTATTTTATAATTTGGTATACCTTTTGAGGCAACTCTCTGCCTGAGTCCTTTGAAATTGCAAAATAAGTAAATGTCCAGTAGGCTCAACTCCAGCAAGCATGATACAGATTTCAATTCGAATCTTAGGACAACCCGTTCCTGCCACATGGCCCATGTGTGGCTTCTTTTCCAAAATCTTTTTTTTTTTTTTAAGACAGTGCATTGAATTGTGTAAAAGATAGTCTGCATTTCAGGTAAGATAAAGGCTGTATATAAGAATAAAATTGAATCATACTTATTTTTCTTGCTTTTGTCTCTGATTAAGTACACTCCCTTTAGATTTTAAGTATTTTCTCTCTAAATACTCAGATAAATTTTGTGGAATATATGGCTCTATCCTGTACGTAGTTAACTAGAAAAATGCTGTTGTATTTTACAAAATATATGAATTGTTTGGACTCTCAGTTCCATAAGTCTTAAACTCAGAGTTATTGTTTTGAGTTTGATTAACCTTAACACTTCGTAATACCTCTAGTTTTTGTGGTGTTAAGAGTATGAATCCAGGGCATCAAGCATGCTAGGCAAGTCTTCTTAACATTGAGTCATCTAGCTCAATACTGTGTAAATCTTTAAACATTCAGAGCCATATTGAGTTGGTAGGAAGACTTCTGCTACTTTACTTTTCATTTTTTGATGAGAAATTTGCTTCTCATTGTGAACCGGGAATCAAACTCAGGACCTTGAGCTTGCCAGGCAGGTGCTGTGTTCATAAGCTATACCCCGGCCCTAGAATTTGGAATTGTTATGCCAAACCTTTTTTTTTTTTGTCTATTCTTTAGAGGGCCAGATTTTAGAGCCATTCATTTAATCATATGATAAATACAAATAGCAGGTTTTAGAAATTATGAGCTTAATAATAAAATTATCCTTTTGTTTTCCTTGGAATCTTACCAATAAATTATTTCTCCCTTTTCTGCATAAGATCACATTAAATGTCTCTCATTAAACTGCTCAACTTTTGTCTTCTTTAATCTTTAAGAACATCTTATTTAAAGTGACTTGTGGGTAATCCATGAACTGGGTAACCTGACTCTGTAATCCACTCTGCCTTTTACTGACCCTGGAACAATTTCTCCTTTCCACAAACAGTGATTTTTTTAATTTTTATTTTTTTGTGGTACCGGGGATCCAACTCACAACCTCACACTTGCTAGGCAGGCACTTACACCACTGAGCTAAATCCTGGGCCCTGTTTTTTTTTTTTTTTTTTTTTTTTTTAATGACCCTTTGTTCTCTAGCGATGAGTATTGCTTTTTTCTGTCATACCTTCTCATGCACTTTTGCTGAGTACCCTCACTCTCCAGGAGCCTGAGTGTCCACTTTATCACTTCATTTATCTCTCCTTTTTCTAATCATTCCCTGTCCCTTTGGCATGCAACCTCAACTTCTGCTGGAAAGGGGAAAGAATAAGTGCTTTCTCCAAGTGGCAGCAGGTTGTCTTCTAGCCCGTCAAAGTTGGCCCCTGGGGGAGGTGAAGTCTCAGCAGGCTCACACTCAGGTGAGGTTGCCATGTGCTCAGGTGGGCGAGCATGTGTTGGCATGTAAGGAGGATATTCTCCTGCCTGAGAATCTCAACAAAGCAAAATAAGTAGTCCACACTGGATCATCACAAACTCAGCCCTGTAAGGTGCTTGCTTCTTTGTTTTTTTTTTTTTTTTTTTTTTTGTACCAGGGATTGAACTTGCGACCTTGCACTTGCCAGGCAGGTGCTTAGGCTGCTGAGCTAAATCCCCGGCTTCTTCTTTGTTTTTTAAAAGTAGTAAAGATGAAGCCTAAGCTAATTCCAGTAACCAAATGTGTATGGTTGAAGTGCTGCTGATTGCAAAATAGGATATATTTTGTGATCCCTGTTTGTGTGGCAGTTTACATTGGTAAATGGAGGATTGGGGTTTTGAAATTAGAAACAAGGACAGCTTTGGAGGAGGAAGGTAGGTTTTTCTTTTTGTGTTTGTGTATGGTGGGGGGGTGGGGGGTGGGGGGAGCAGCCCATGAGACAGGTGCAGGGAGTGAGTAATGTGCCACTCCTAAACCATGCGGTTTAGCCAATGAGCACCAGGCTTCCCCATGGTCCTATAGTATAGTTTCCCTGTCCGTCAGTCAAGAGCTGGCTCAGCAACCAAACCCAGATTTCAGGTGTGGTATTCCACTGTCGTTCTGTAATTTGTAATCATAGAAACAGAATGTTCCTCCTCTTATTTCTTCCCTGCCAACATTTTCTGGGTGGGTGAATGTCAGTAGCTGGAGTTATTTTTAAAGAGGAGAGGTGAGGCTTGTCGTGCGAAGCTGGGAAGAGGGCGTTTGTTTGCAGAGCAGAGCTGACATCAAAGTGTAGATTACTGCTCAGTGGCTGGGCGCTTGTCCTATAACAGGTAATGTTTAACATGCCAGTCACAAAGATCACAGAAACAGTATATGCTTGGGCACAAGATAGCACTACCTTTTATGCTCTGGAGACTGAGCGGCTCTGTGTGCCCACGTATTTTTTTTTTTTTTCAATATACGTATGCGTTGGTCTAGCTGCCGCCTCTTTTGCTGGCTGTAATTGGACTTTGAATCTGGGAAGTTATATCATAAAAATTTTTAACCTTTGAGAGTGAGCTTGGCTAAGCAACCACTTTCCTATTCTTTTCACAGGATAATGTAAACGTTTTTTTGAAAGCTTGTGAACAGATTGGATTGAAAGAAGCCCAGCTTTTCCATCCTGGGGACCTACAGGATATATCGAATCGAGTCACTGTTAAGTAAGTTTCATTGGTTTGCTATGTATATATTTAAACTCCAGGCTTGCAGCCTAAATGAAGATAATTGCTGAGAGTTCATGATTACTGAAAAACCATTCATCTCTGTTCTTCCTCTGTTCTCATTCCAAAATAGACTATTTAAAAAATGGCTTGAGGTTTGTGAATGTGAAGCTGCCTAAAATCGATAATGTCGTGCTCTTAAATCTCTGTACTAAACAGAATGATAGTTTATATTTTAATGTCTATCCCGTGTGGTTGTGTTTGCTTGCTAATAATAAGGACAACCTTTGTACTTTAAAAATACATTGCAGTTTACCGACCGAAATAATTATTTGAAAGTAGTTTTTACTCTATGTATAGCTAAGATATAATTGTTAACAAAAAAATTAAGAGTAACATAGTGGTAAAAGAGACCTTGTTAATAATTTGGTAGACAGAAGTGCCTGGTATCAGCATATAATGCCTGTGACTTTGTCAATTGTGGTTGCTTTTTTAAAAATGAGCTTTTTTAAGAAAAACAATTTTAATATTTGGATAAAGCAAAATTAGGACGGAAAAGAGACATGCTATTGGATTTTAAGTGGAAAGTGGTATTCATGTGTGAGTGTATGGTTTCAGGAAATTTGGTTTTAAACATTTATGAGATTTTTTTTTACTATAAATCTAATTTACTTTCAGGGAATCAGTAATTAAGTCAAGTTACCAGACAAATGTGGCAGCAAAATGATTTAATTTTGTAATAATGACAGCTTCCTTATAGGTCTTTAATTCCTAATTAAATTACATTGGTCCTACTAAGAAAATATATACTTTATTCTGACTGTGCAAAAACTAGAAATGGAAAAATTAGTTCACACAAAGATTTAGTTTATGTGGTTGATATGTCTGGTGGTAACTTCAATCATTATTAACAATTGACTATAAGAGCTTACATATGGCCATTGTTTTCTGACAGAATAGCACTATCTTAGTAGACATTGTCTTTTAATAGTACAACCTCAAATTTTAAGTTGGCATTAATTTTTTAAAAGTCTAACAATAAAAATTTTAAAGAAGAACAAACTTACCCATATAATTCTAGTGAAGGTTTTTCTTAATCCACAGCAGTGATAGGTGCACACCAGAGAAGAGTCTGTCAAGATTTCTGATGGACTTAGTTGAGTGATCCTAAGTTTCATCACTAAAGTGTTTACTTCTGTAGTACATCAGACTGTGTTTAGTTTTCATGAAAAATAAAAATTTAAATGTTTTTCCTAATCAACATAATGTGATTCTCAAAGAAACTTTAGACTTTGAAAGTCTTTTTTTAAGTTGTTGGTGCTTATTAAGGGTAAATGTTCTTCCCTCTAAAATCATACTGCTTTGAAACTCTGCACCCTATAGTTGAGTAAGCTACAGACTGGGTGAAACTTGTTTGTTGGTGATTTATTCCAAGGGTGCACGTACAAAGCTTGCCTGGAGCCTGCTTCAGGAGTTTCTGGGTCTAAAATGGTTAAGGAAAATAGTATCAGGGCTCAGCCATTAGTGAAATTATACAACTGACAAAGTGAAACCAGGCGGTCACGTAGTTGCGGCTGTATTAAGAAGTATGCAGAACAACTTGTTTCAGTGGAAACCACAAGTCTGTCAAAGCAAGGTGTGCCTCAAGACTTTCCAGTGACATGCCCAAGTGAGGACTTTAGCTTTGCTAGTCCCCTAATAAGTGTGTCTTGTTAGATCAAGAATGAAGGTTTTGGGTGTTATAGAGCGTCGCAGATAAGTCCCAAGGGAGCTGGCAAATGACTGCTTTAAAAACATTGGCGAGCCCTTAAACCCTGAGATAGCACTTTTTTTTTTTTTTTTTAAAGAAGCAGACTCAAGGGAAAATAGTTACTTACTAAATAGTAATGCTTTCCTTAGTTTCTAGTTTTGCTCTCATGTAATATAGAGACTCCTGTAAGTTGAAAAACTTGTCCTATCATTATTGTAGATTAAAGACTTGATGTTAGTTAGATCAGTAGTTCTTAACTGGAGGCAGTCTTGGCCCTCTGAGGACATTTGACTGTATCTAGAGAGATTTTTGGTTGTAATGCTTGGGAGGTGGGTGTGCCACAGGGATCTAGTGGGTTAGGAATGGTGCTTTATACCCTTAGATACAAAGGACAATCTTAAGAATTTTTCTAGTTCACATAGTAATAATGCTGGAGTTGAGAAATTCTGGCACAGACTTAGAATTCCTTGCTCATTCCCTTCTTGCCAGCAGAACAGCTGGGTGGAAAGGAAGGCTGCTGCCTGTGATAGTCTTTTGACACACTACTGCAATACAATTTATTTACTGTCACGTAATAATGTCTACATTTCCTTAATGTGTTTATTCAATTGGAAGTCTCATTCTAATTTGTTTGAAAATGTAGTAATGTAAGTATTTTGAGATTATTTTGCTTATCAGTATATGCTTAATTTAACAAAAATGTGACAAATAATTTGAATATTTTAAGAGCTCAGTCATTAATCAGTTGCGCAGGGTGTATCTACCAGTGAATAGCCCTGTGTTGCTGGTGTCACTATAAACACGATGTAACCATGAAATACTGAGAACAAACAGGAGGGACAGTTAATACCGTTTGTGTTGGCTATGAGATGATTTTATGAGTGGATTAGCATACAGTGAGTATTTAGAGCCTGAGAATTGTGTGTGCTGAGAATGAACTGTTTGAGCAGAAACAATTAAAGAGCTATTGGTAGCAAATAATTGCAGTTACGCAGACCCTAACAATAACTATTTTATAGCAATTTGAGATTTACAATTTAATTTGTAAATTTGTCACTGGTAAGCCAGAACTAGAGTACTTTTTATACTTCTAAAATTATAAATACTCACATGGGATCTAATTTTCGAAATCAATTTTAAGTTGCAGAAAGTATTAGTTTGTACTTTTTCAGATATATTTGAATGATTACATTCGTTTTGGTATTGCATCTACTTGAGTCAGTGTGCACCTATCATTGCTGTGGATTAAGAAAAACCTTCACTAGAATTGTATGGGTAGGTCTGAAAAATTTGCTCTTTTTAAAAAATATTTATTAGACTTTTAATTTTTAATTTTGACATCGCCTGGCCTAATGGGTAGGAGCAATCTTTACTTTTTTTCTTCTAACAGGCTCATAAGCAAATTTATAATTTAGTCTCTGTGAATGGTCGATGGAGGTCCACCCCAGCCTGAGGCATAACATCATCAAGCTTGAGTCATTATAAGAACAATTCACTGTATCTCTATTCTGAACTTAGCACGTACAGTCTTCCCATGTCCTGTGAAAGGCATATAGGAGAATAAGCACATGATGGCAGGCATCATGATCTTTGTTGTGCCATGTGGTTTTTAGGAGAAACAGGACATTTGCTCATTATGAAAAGCAATTCCAAAGCATAGCCCAGACATCCTATATTGTGAACTCAGAGTTGGCAGAAAGGCAGGGCTTAATATTAAAGATTTTAATTTTATATGTGTAGTAACTCGACTTAGAAACTAAGTCCTGTATTTAAACCATTGCTGCAACTGATTTGTTTCAGAAAATTTTAAGTAGAGAATTTGAACAGATTGCAAACATGTTTTTTTCCTTGCCACCCCCTTATCATTCCAACCCAGTTTTTAGCACTTCTTCAGTTACATCTGTTCATAATATGATTACAGGAGGATAGTCCTTTTGAACACAGTATTTCAGTCATTGAAAGAAATTATTTTCTTGTGGAGACTTACTTTATCATTGGATATTAATGTTTTAAGTATAAAATGTTAATTTTAAATACGCATTGATACTGCCTCAGGGTTTTTTAATGTATTAAAGTGAGGAATAGAAATAAAATACCTTATTACACATGCTGAGTGCCAAAGGAACAGTGGTTAAAAGAAAAATTAATGTTAACACCTTCCATTGTTAACATAATGGAAGCTCAAAATGATGTTTGGAGGGTGTTATGTGTTCTCTAAAACTTCAGCAGGATTCTTGACTTTATGGCAGTACTATAGCCCTTTTTTAGGAACAAGGTCCCAGATAGCACCCTGATTTAACAATCTGCAATCTGCTTGCGATATGCACATGTATTTATTTAAGATTTATTCATGTAAGGAAAAAATTTTGAATTCTTTAATTTCTAATCTTTTCTAATTAAACTTGATTTTGCTACCTATTTTGTAATTGTATCTTTCAAATGGAGTTTTCAGCATTTTAATCTTTTCTTTAAAGCAAGTTTAATGATATCTAAATTTAGATCTGCAACTTGAGCACGGTGACTTCCACCTGTCAATTTATGTCACTATCTTTAAATGTTCTTTTCCTACCAACTTACTAGAAAACAAATCAAAAACCAAAAACAAAAGGGAAGCTCATTGTACTGTATCAGTCACTGTGTTCTGCCATTCTTTGGTATCCAGCCATTCTGTGGTATTAGATACTTATTGGGAGGGGTACATTAATTCTTCCGAATGTCAGAGGCTCTATTTAAAATCAGCAGCAAAAGTGCCGAATCAAATGAGTAAGTGCTTACTAATTGTGGAGTTTGACTACTGAAGAGTACTAGCTGGGGAGAAAAGTTGTAGAATTTAAGGCAGTTCTGATGCTGGGAGCAGAGTTAAGGTTTTATTTGTGTTGTCCTTTCTCCATTTTGAGTTCTTAATCTATTTCTCAAATTTACAAGTTTCTTAATAGCTGCTCTCCTTCTTAATTTCTACAGTTCGTCACATCCAAAAGCCACAGGGTTTGATTCTGTCTTGGCCTGGTGGGTGCGATTTCATACTGAACCTGACCAGGGTCTGTATCTTCAGAAGTAACCTCAGTGATGTTCACTGCTTCCAAGAGTTTTACTTGGTATCTAATCTGATTAGCTTTTGATATAAGTCAGTTTATGAAAGGATGACAGTCTGTTGCTTTTGTGATCCAATAGCATTTGTTTTATTACAAGGCCCTTTAGAGGGCTACACCAAAGAGATACTTCTGAGGAAGGTATTCTGTCTTTTGAATTA